GAATACTAAAAATATGATCTCTAACTGGGAACATAAACTCAAGTAGTCATGTGAAGTGAGTACACGTAGAGCAGGGACCTCTCAAATCCAAACAAAGTGATAAGAACAATCTCGGGTCCAATCCGGTCATAAAGCAAACATACATCCGCGTAAACACTCATCACCTCATGTACATGTTATTTATACATAACACAAATAAGCAATTAATCCAAATCCTAAGGTATAATTTCCCTCACACAAAGTAAGGCAAGATACTTACTTCAAATTGCCCAAATCAACACTCAAAAATAGCTTTTACTTTAAAATTCACTTCTGCTGGCTCAAATCTAACCAAAAATGACTTAATAATATCAAACAATGTAGGAGAAACTAATTTCGATTAATAAAGTTAAGATCTTTACACAGTTCCCAAAGAGTCAACAAAAGTCAATTCCAGACCCGCCCGGTCAAAACCCGATTCGAAGGGTCAATTTGAATACCATAACCTCACAAGTCCAAATATGTATTTGGTTTTCAAATTCGAGTCCAACACGACTCTCAAATCTCAAATTTTTATTTTTTAAAAATATAGTAAAAGATCTCCAAAAATTACTTTCAAATTCCATGATTTTGATGTTAAAATCCCTACGAAATTGAGTCAAAATCACTTAGCCAATAGCTAGATGTGAAAATCCTTTCCAAAAATCGCTTTCCGCCAAATGTAGGGCTCAAAATGTGATAAAATGAGACTAAGTCCCGAAATCCCATTATTAATATCAGTTGCAGATGTTGCAATTGCGATCTAGGGTTCACAAATGCGACCCACAACAAATGTAGAAAAGGCATCACAAAAGCGATCACTGAGAAGCTTTGAAAATGTCGCAAAAGCGACATAATATCCGAAAATACGAACACAAACCCCTTCACAAAAGCGACAACTTGGTCGTAAAATGCGGTTGCCCCCTATCCAGATGTCCATCGCAAATGCGATCAAAGAGTTTGCGAATGCGAACTCTCAAGCCCCCAGCCCACCTCACACATACGATTACCTCCTCGCAAATGCGAGGTCCGCAAGATATCCTTCGAACAGAGAAAACGTTAAGGACAACGCGGGTTGGCCATGTATGTCCTGTTCCGAATACAAATCGGACAATTGCTTATATTACTTGTAGCCTACAAACGTAAAAATTTAATGAGTTGGTCAGTTTCCATCAATTTATTTAAATTATATATCTAAATTTTTTAAATTAAATTTTTTTTAACCATTATTGACAAACTTCAGACAAAATATTGCTTCCACTTCCACTGCTTTTTCTTCTTCTTAGTTGTATAAAAGAAGTCTCAGGGAGTTTGATCATTACGACATTTTAGTAACATGTATTGCTAAACTTGTTTTCTCAATTTTAAGTAGATTTAGTTTACTCTATACCTTTACCGTGCAATGCAACAAGGACATGTTAATGTGGTTATTTAAACACATACACAGAGCCTGCACAACGGAATATTAACAGGAATATACCTTCAGTCATAATTGTTCAAGTATTGTAGAGTCGCCTTAAAAAGTTGTGACGAAGAAAAAACTAGGAGTCTTCTATCCTGTGTCTATCGTAGGATGTCAGACTGATGGAGTCATAGGCGTATTTATAGGAAGGCTAGGGACTCTTAGCCAAATACTTTAGCCATAGGGACTTCTCCAATAATTATAATTACCCTAGGGACTCCTAATATACGGTAATTTTTTTCCATCAAAGAAACTACCATATATGCATAACTACATAATATTATCTGATATATTATTTCTTTTAGGAGACAAAGTAAATAATTTATTACCTTATATGTAGGCCACAGTAGAAGTCTCTAGAAGAGACGGTAAATTTCTAACATTCTCCCACTTGACCGACATATTAAAATTAGATAATCCTTTATGAGAGATAAATATATAATATGGCCATAGACTTTATCACTCAACTAAAAGTTATGCAACAATCACTTTAACTAGAACATATTATCACACGAATTATGGCGGTCATGCTCTTAAACAAATAATTCTTTCTATGTAATATAATGTACAAATGTTCTAACAAAGTGTCAACAACTTTATGAATGAACCTTAATATAAGTCATTCGGAGTCCAACTTTATTGATCCAATGATCACAAAATAATACATGAAAAACTAAAGTGTGCACTATCATGTGTATCAAAATAAACATAATGTCTAAACAAACTGTTAGAGAACAAAGCAAGGCTAAATTGAGCTATTAAGACCTATATAGGTTATATGATCCTTGAAAATATTAACCGGAAGACCTTTAGTCATAGGATCAGCAATCATCAAAGTAGTACTAACATGCTCAAGACTCACATCTTGCTTCTTCACATAGTCTCTAACTATCAAGTACTTTATGTCGATATGCTTGCTTCGGCTGCCACTTTTATTATTCTTAGAAAAGAACACTGCAGCTGAATTGTCAAATAAGATTCTCAATGGCCTTGAAATGGAATCGACAATCCTAAGGCCGAAAATAAAGTTTTTCAATCATAACTCCTGTGATGTAGCTTCGTAGCATGCTATAAACTCAGCTTCCAGAAGGAAAATGTATCCTGAAGTAGATTTACAGTGTCTTTGCATCCTCCCAAATCAGAGTCTGAATATCCAATCACCTCCAATGAATCAGAGTATCTGTATGTGAGCTTAAAATCCTTGGTTCCTTGCAAATATCTCAAAACCCTTTTACCAGCTTTTCAATGATCAAGACTAGGGTTACTTTGCTATCTGCCAAGCATTTCTACAGTAAAAGCAATATCAAGTCTAGTACAGACTTGTGCATACATAAGGCTCCCAACAAGCGAAGCATAGAGAATATCTTTTATTTGCTCCTTTTCCAATGCATTTTATGGACATTGGTTCAAAGAGAATTTGTCACCTTTAATTATAGGTGCTGCTATACGTGAATAGTTCTTTATCCCGAATCTTTACAAAATTCTTTCAATGTAGGCCTTTTGAGATAGTCCAAGATATCTTCGAGATCTGTCTCTGTGAATCACTATGCCAATGACACAAAAGGTTTCACCCATATCCTTCGTCTTAAAATTCTTGATAAGGAATTATTTAGTCTGTAAACCCAAATAAAGAAACAACATTATGAAATAATTACACTATTGGCGGGAAGCCTTCTTTAGCCCATAAATAGATTTATTCAATTTGCAAACAAGATGACTTTTGTCCTTATCACAAAATCTTTCAGGCTGACACATGTATACCTCCTCTTCAAGATCTCTATTCAGAAAAGTTGTTTTCACATCCATTTGATGTAAATCCAAATCAAAATGAACTATTAATGCCATGATTATTTTCAATGAATCCTTCTTTGATTCTAGAGAGAAGGTTTTATGGTAATTAATGCCTTTCCTTTGAGTAAACCCTTGGCTACAAGCCTGACTTTATATCGTTCAATAGTACCAGATGTCTTTTAGTTTTAAAGACCCATTTGGAACCTATAGTAGAGGATCCCTTTGGTAATTCAACGCGATCCCAGACTTTATTTTTACCCATAGATCTAACTATTCTTTCATGGCATCATACCAAAGTATAGAGTTTTCTCCACTCATGGCTTGTGAAAACGAACATGGGTCATCTTTTAGTCCAAAATCATAATAAGACTCTTGGAGATATACAACATAGTCACTAGAAATTGTTGATTTTCAAACTCTTGAAGATTTTCTTACTCCCACTAGTTCAGACACTTTTGTAGTGAGTTCAAGTAAAGCGTGTTGATCTTCATATGGCTCCTCAAGTGGTGGTGGATCTTGAACTTATTCTTGTTCAAATAATTCATGAGAATTTTTCTGAGCAACATTCAAGTTCCCAATGTATAAGGATAAAGGTAAGCTTGATCTGTTATTTATGCTTCTTACCATATCTATTGATGTCTAGTTCCTTCTTTCTGCCACACACTTTGTTATGGTGTTCCTGGCATGGTATATTGGGCAATTATACATTTATTTTCAAGTACTCAGTAAATGGACCCTTAATTTGTCCCTTATCTGTGTACCTAAAGTAATATTCTCCACCCTTATCAGATCTTACAATTTTGATCTAAGCAATAGTTTGTTTCTATACTTCTGTTTTGTAAACTTTAAAAGCATCAAGTGCTTCATATTTGTTAAACAAAAAATAGAGATACACATATCTAGAATAGTCATCAATAAATGAGATAAAATATCTCTCACCATTCAAGCAAGTGGTAGGAAAAAGATCCTCATATGTCTGTATGTATGATCCCAAGCAATTGAAAACTCCTTTTGGTACTTTTAGTTAATTTGTTGGTCTGCTTACCCTTTATACAATCCACACAAGTCGCAAAGTCAGAAAAATCAAGAGCTTTTAAAACTCCACCATTAACCAACCTTTTGACTCTATCAATAGAGATGTGTCCCAATCTCTTGCGCCAAAGACTTGATGAGTTCTCATTGATAATACATTGCTTAGTGCCAATTTCTGTGTCATGTAAACTTAAAATATTGCATTCAAATATGGGGTCTAGATCAAGTTTATATAAAATTCCATTCAAATTTCCAAAACCAATAACTTTATTATCTTTCAAAAGTTTCACAGAAGGATAATGAAAATTCAAACCATATCTACTAATCGATAGTCTTGAAATAGAAATTAAATTTCTAGAATATTCTGGAACATAAAAAGTATTTTCTAAATTTAAGTAAAAACCATCCTTCAAAATGAGCCTATAAGTCACTATGCCTTCTACACATGAACGTGTCCTATTGCCAGAATAGACATATTGTTCACTTCCTATCGGCTTCCTCTGAGTTAGAAAGCCCTGCATGATTTTGGCAATGTGAATTGTAGCACTAGAATCAATCCACCACGTATTATCAGAAACTTCAATAAAATTGGATTCATAACATACAAAGGTAAAATTACCTTTTTTCTCAAGTCATTTCTTGTATTTCAGGCAATCTTCTTCCAGTCTCCCTTCTTCTTACAGAAATGGCAAGCATCTTAGTCAAAGGTGCTTTTCTTCTTCATGGGAACACTTTTGCCCTTCTTTGCATTTATATTACCATGAGTCACCATATTAACACTTTCAGGTATCTCATTTTTCAACCTCTCTTCTTCTTGAACATACATGGTCAAAAGTTTATTGATTGACCATTTATTCTTATGTGTGTTGTATGAAATCTTGAACGGACCATATTCAGCAAAAAGTGAGTTGAGAATAAAATTCACAAGAAATGGTTTGGACTTATCAACCTTAAGGGGCTTGAGTTTAGAAGCAATGTCTCTCATCTTCATAATGTGCTCACGCACTGTACGACTTCTGTCAAAAGTCATACTTGAGAGGCTCATCATAAGGGTGCTGGCCAATGCCTTATTAGAACTTACGATTTGTTCATCAGTTGTCTTCATGTAAGATTTGACCTCATCGTTATTAGGGATTGAACCCCTAATGCTTTGGCTTATATGAGATTTTATGAGTATTAAACTTAAGCGATTAGATCGCTCCCACCGCTCATAATTAGCCTTAGCCTCTGGCGTACTTGATTTTGTGGGAATAGGTGGTGTTTCCATACGGAGTGCCAGGTCCAGATCCGAGCACCCTAAAGTGAGAAGGACTTTCTCCTTCCATTCAGCGTAATTATCACCAGAAAGCATTAGAATTCGAGCATTCTCATTAAAAATACCAGTAGAAAAAGCGGTAAAGACTGCAAAACAAGGATAAACATACATAAGTTATGAAGTACAATCCATCAAAAGTGAATCGCATAAAATATCGATTCTAAGTAATTCTAGACCCTCCTGTGGGGCAGAGGATGCAATCCATGCATAGAATTTACTTTACTTTATTAGAATAGTAAATCGAAACGCATAAAATTAATTTGTACCTGTGGGCATAAGATAATTTTAAACTCAAAGGTTTACTATCTGATTCCAAATTAATCTCACCAAAATAGTTACCTCCCTGTAGGGTTGGGTTACTATTATAATGAGATAACTGGACTAAATAGATGTCATTATAATTTTTAATTACTAAAAAATTATGTGATTAAATAACTTAATTTCTTTTATATCAAGTATTCAGGTACTGTGGCTACTACCTAAATACACGATATAAAAGAAAATTCCTAATGACATCTTACAATGATTTGTTAAAACAATCAAATTATATAGGATATTGATTGATTTCAAAATAGGCACACAGATTAAATGAGCACCAATCTTCTATAGCCTATAAACAAAATTAACTCTTATAATTAATCTAGATATTATAAGGATAATTTCAACGGAAGTAAAATAAATAGTTGCAATTTCTTGCAAAATAGTAGCTTTTAATCATAATTCAATTGTAGATCACAATTGCATATACAAAGATGGTCTTATGAACGGAGGTGATACTAGATGAAGATAATTACTTTGTAAATGCTTTAAGTGAGAGAAAAAATATCAACAGTACTATTATTGCATACAAATATTTCACGAAGTCTTGAACTATATTAATCAACTTAAACATCTTCATTGATATTTAGTTTAGCTAGAAAATCTATTTATTGCCAATTAACTGCTGAATAACATGGAGAATATTTTGGAACCATAAACTAACAAAATCTATTACCAAAGATAGATTGTCTAGAGTTATTCTAGAATCACATCAAATACGTTGAACAATCGGAGATCCAAAACTAACATGGTAGGATTTATTACTTTATATTCGGCCAAGTGTTTCATAGAATTCAAACAAACACATTCAAATTGCCCATGACACGGTAGGATCAATACATAGGTCAAATAAGAAATTAATACAGATGTCTTAACCGAACATAAGAGCACCGTCGAAGCTTCTTGTTAATGAGTTTATCAATTACTTTTCATTATATGGTTTTGGATCACAACTCCAATTCAAATATGAGTCATTTCAAAACACTGAACAACTGGCTAAAGACATCTGATACCACACGTGGCTATTTAAACACATACACAGAGCCTACGCAGTGGAATATTAACAAGAAAGTACCTTCATCCATAGTTGTTCAAGTGTTGTAGAGTCGCCTTAAAAGGTTGTGACGAATAAAAACTAGGAGCCTTCTAGCCTGTGCCTATCGTAGGATGCCATCATAATGGAATCACATGCATATTAATAGGTAGGCTATGGACTCTTAGGCAGATACTTTAGCCATAGGGACTTCTCCATAAATTATAATTACCCTAGGAACTCCTAATATATAGTAATTTCTTTCAATCAAAGAAGCTACCATATATGCATAACTACATAATATTATCTGATATATTATTTCCTTTGGGAGACAAAGTAAATGATTTATTATCTTATACGTGAACCACACTACAAGTCTCTAGAAGAGACAGTAAATTTGTAACAGTTAAATCAATAGATTTGTAACTGGCTATCCGAAAAACTTATGTGAATCTTATTCATTTTGCATGCTCACTTGAATTAAATTACTAATGGGTTAAACCCGTATATCTCTAGGAGTGCTTAGGTTCCAAATAGTATAATTAGCACGAATCTTTGAGTGAAAAATCAGATTGAATCCGTTCAGATATAATATAACTAACGTTTACAAAGCAATTGATACCAATGCCAGGCCTAGCTTAAGGATAGAGGGTTCCAAATGGTATAATTAGCACGAATCTTTGAGTGAATATTCAGATTGAATCCGTTCAGATATAATATAACTTACATTTACAAAGCAATTGATACCAAAGCATGGCTTACCTTAAGGATAGAGGGTATTTACCCTAAAAACGGTTAACATTTGAATTTATACTGTGGTTTTAATAATACATGACAAACTGAGAGAAAAAGTAAATTGATATTGAAATTAACTGCAAATATAAATAAAGCAAACCAAATAAAATATATAGCTTTGATCCTTGAATGTACATTTCTCCGGGTTGAGCTACATGTTGTATTTCTTCAGTATACTGAAAGTTTCCTGCAAATGCTTCAAATGGTCCTCTGCTCGTAGGGACTTAACTAGCATGTTATCAATATGAACTTCCATAGATTTCCCTATTTGTTATTCGAACATTCGGTTTACTAGGCGTTGATAGGTTGTTATGATGACCCGGCCAGTCGTCTCATGAGATACCACTATGTTTCCCCCATTTCTATTTCTAATTGCTTTGTATAATGGTTCTATATATGATCGGGTTGATTGGGTAGGGTTCGGAAAGGATTTGGTAAGGTTTGAGATACTTAGTCTCTTTTAAGGAAGGTTAAGATGGAAAAGTCAACCGAATATTGACTTATATGCTAGAGGGCTCGGATGTGAGTTCCGATGATTTGGTTAGCTTCGAGAGGTGATTTGAGACTTAGTAGCACGATCGGAATGAGTTTTGGAATTCCGGAGTAGATTTAGGCTTGAAATGGCGAAAGTGGATTTTTGGTGATTTTCGGTTGGTAGGTGAGATTTTGATCTAGGAGTCAGAATGGAAATTCCTAGAGTTGTAGTAGTTCCGATATGTCATTTGGGATGTGTGTGCAAAATTTCAGGTCATTCGGACGTGGTTTGGTCATGTTTTTTATCAAAAGCGAAATTCGAAAGATTTTAAGAAACTTAGGCTTGAATGTGATGTGTTTTAGCTGATTTGATGTTGTTTGAGGTGTTTTGAAGATTAGAACAAGTTTGAATAAGGTTTTGGGATGTTTTGGTGCCTTTGATTAAGGTCTCGGGGGCCTCGGGCCAATTCATAAAGTTGGAACCTGCAAAAAATTGCAGGTCAGTGCTGCAGAAAAGAGACCTTCACATTCGCGAGAGGGTCCTCGCGTTGCGAAGGGTCAGTCAAGGAAGGTGGAAATTAAGCCTTCGCGTTCGCGATGAGGTCTCTGCGTTTATGAAGGGCTGGGCATAGGTGCATCGCGTTCGCGGGTGTGTAGTCACGTTCGCACAGAAGGAATTGAGAGGCTGAGCTTCAGTGGAATTAACTCATCGCGTTCGCGATGGATGGAATGCATTTGCGAAGGTCCATCTGGGTAAAGCATCGCGTTCGCGAGGGTTTGGTCGCGATCGCGTAAGAGGAGAATTGGTTAAAGTTAAGTTGTGCTTTGCGAACGCAAGGCTTTGACCGCGTTCGCGAAGAAGGATTTTCAGGCCTGGGCAGAAGGTTTAAAAGGTCGTCTTGTCCGCGAATGTGGGGTTTATTTCCTCCATAGTTGGTCGTTTTTGGAGATATTTGAAGGAGATTGAAGAGGGATTCAAGGGGAAACATTTGGAGGTAATAATTTTGGACTTAAAACTCGACTCTATTGTGAAATCTACCTAATAAAATCATGGAATCTAAGCCTAAAATTGAGGAATCAGGGCTTGAGATTGATAGACTTTAAATGAGAATTTGAGGGGTCATTTGGACTCCGATTTCAGTATTTTTGATATGTATAGACTCGTGGGAGGATAAGGATTCTGGTGATATAAATTTCATCGAGTTTCGAGACGTGGGCCCGGGGGTCGGGTTTGGCCAATTTCGTGATTTTTGGTATTATTTGATTGTTTTTGCTTGGGCTAGGTTCCCATAGCATATTTTGACGTCGTGATTCTGATTTTGGATAGATTCGATGTGAGTGGAGGCCGATTCGAGGGAAAAGGTGTCGCAGAGTAGTATTTTCACCGATTTGAGGTAAGTAACCATTGTAAATCTGAAACTGAGTGTACAAACCCCAGTATTTGACTTGTTTTGATAAATACAGTGACACACATGCTAGGTGACGAGAGTGTGGGCGTGCACCGGTAGGGATTGTGACTTGGTCTGTCACGTAGAGACTATTAAGCCGCGTATTTGATTTGGAACCTTATGATATTCCGTATTTTTGCTATTTATACTATATTATGGGTTGTATGCCATGTTTGGGGTCTTGTGCCGACCTGTTGAGACCCTTAGGGGCATTTTCACCGTTTTCTTCACTTTACTTGTTGAAAGCATATCCTCAGTCATGTTTTACCTATTTAAATATTTAAAACCGGTTTTATCACTCCACTTCTAATTGTGAGGACTGTTTGGGCTGAGTTCCCTAATTTCTATTATCGTGCCCGAGAGGCAGTGAGGTTAATGACTGAGAGAGGTTGAGAACTTAATAGTGAGGATAATATATGTATATATTATGGGTCGGGCTATATATGTATATTGGATCGGGCTGCGCGCTGCAGCGATATGACGCTTGGGCTGTAGGAGCCCCTCCGGAGTCTGTACACCACCAGTGAGCATAGTCGACTATAAATTACGGATCGGGTTGCACGCTGCAGCGGGTACTATGATTTCAATTATTATGAGATATTAATGAGCTTGAGTCCTGAGAGTGAGTACTGAGTGACGAGAGTGAGTTACGAGTGACTGAGAGGCTGCCCGAGAGGCCATGTTCTGGGTGATACCTTGCTCGATGGGCCCAGTTATGATATTTTTGCTGATTTCACCCTTCTTTTATAAATAGCTTCTATTGGAAAAATTGCTAAGTATATGATTTCAAGTGTTTAAACTGAAGTTGATAATTTTACGACGAAACTGGTTTTAAACTGTGAAATGCATTTGTTATCCTGTTGTTTAATTAGTTATATGATTTTTAGCTGCTCGTCACTGCTTTTAGACCTTATTTACTCTAGTTACTTACTGAGTTGGCATACTCACGTTACTTCCTACACCTTATGTGCAGATCCATGTGCCCGAGCGGCAGAGTGAGGGTCCTCAGCTGATCCAGAGGTTGCTGGAGATTTCAAGGTAGCTGTATGGCGTCCGCAGCCCTTTTTTCTCCTTCTTATCTTGTTCTTTTTCACATTTCTCTAGACTTTTGTTGTATCAGACAGTCATTTATATAGTAGAGGCTCTAGACTCGTGACACCAGATACTTGGGATTGTGTAGTTTTCATGTTTATTTGACTTCAGCATATGTAATTGTGTTTTAAACGCTTATTATGGAAAATTTTGGTATTTAAACCTGTGTCAGAAAATGGTTTTATAAAAGGAATTTGTTATAGTTAATGGTTTGGGTTGGCTTTCCTAGTAATATGATAGACACCATCACGACTGGGTATTTGGGGTCGTGACAAGTTGGTATCAGAACCTAGGTTACATAGGTCTCGCGAGTCATGAACCGGTTTAATAGAGTCTCGTGGATCGGTACGGAGATGTCTGTATTTATCCTCGAGAGGCTAAAGAACCTTTAGGAAAATCTTCATATTCTTGAAATTCTTGTCGTGCGAACTTGTTGATCCGAATACTAAACTTTTGTTATTCCATTCTCTCACAGATGGTGAGGACACGTGCTATCGGGCAGGGTGGATGACCACCAGTTCCACCAGTTGGGGCCACTAGAGGTCGAGGACGCGGTCGAGGCCGTGGTAAGGGTAGAGCAGCTAGGGCAACACCTGCAGATCCACCAGTTGCCCCAGTTCAGGATCAGATCCCAGTTGTGTACGCTACACCAGCACCAGCTCAAACACCAGTTGTGCCCATTGTGATTTCAGGCCTTCAGGAGGCTTTAGCTTAGATCTTATCAGTGTGTACCAGTTTGGCTCAGGCGATCTCTGTTACTACGGCTGCAGCTACTTCTCAGGCCGGGGGAGGCACCTAGACACCCGTTACTCGCACAAATGAGTAGGTTGTGCAGGGACTCCAGACACCGGGGGCACCTCCAGCCAAGCCGGTTGCACCAGCTCAAGAGTTTGTGGTACCAGTTATGCCGGACGACGAGCAGCGTCGACTAGAGAGGTTCTGTAGACTCAAGCCTCTAACTTTTAGCGGTGTAGAACGCAAGGATGCCTAGGGGTTCTTGGATAAGTGCCAGAGGATGCTTCGTATAACGGGGATCTTAGAGACCAGTGGTGTAGCTTTTACCACCTTTTAGTTTGTTGGGGCTGCCTTCACTTGGTGGGAGGTGTAGGCCTATTGGTGCATCGCCCCTTACCTGGAAGCAGTTCTCCGTTCTCTTTCTGGAGAAGTATATGACACAGTCTTACCGAGAGGAGCTGTGCAGGCAGTTTGAGTGGTTGCGTCAGAGAGAGATGACTGTGATATA